TGTTGGTCGTGTTAGATTTTAGTTTATTATTAGTAGTATTTTTTGCAAGTGTTTTACGGCGCTGGCAACTGCATAAGATCATATGAGCGCGTGGGACACTTTAAACATTTTCAGTTGATGGGAAAGCCTATTCTTATCGATTTTTGGACCACCAAGGGGTCTTTAACATGCGCAACTTGCACACGGGGCAACCGAGATTTTTCGCCCATGTCCGAGAAGGCTCGATGTAAATCTTTCCTACCATAAGATCAGGGGTGTGGCTGAAACACAGCAGTAAGAGGGATCCAAGGAGTAGCAGTAGAAAGCCTGAAGAAAGATTCAGAAGCTCTGAGGAGGAGGCAATGGAGGTGAGGGGGTGGGGGCATAAAGTGGAGACGAAAGCAGACAACAGAACATTGTTAGAGAGCAGGGAAGGATGTAAAGGGAGAACATTTTAGTGGAAAAATATTTCCGTCACTCTACGGATTCGAACCCAGGACCTATTGAATGAGAGGCGAATACCGTAATGTGTAGACCACTAGAGCCCCCCGGTCTTAGGTCAGGGTGCCACGAGTGACTGTTCGAGGCAAGCTAGTTGTAAACTCTCTGCTAGTTTTTATTCGTCGTTATAAAAGTCAAGTGAGTCGACCTCTATTCCTCCATCATGTAATGTAAACAAGTTGGTCAGCGGAGTGTTGGAAAGATGCCAACGCTGGTGACTTGAACGTTCACGCTGCTAGGCCTTTTGGAGAAGGGGGGGGGGGGTCGTTAGTCTAACGGTATGTTTCTCGCCTCTCATGTCAAACCAATCGGTTCGATTTCCGGTTCTTTTAGGCATATTCAGAGGACAACTTTTAGGTATATTTTCTCTGGGTCTACACACCCCTGGCCAGAAGTACGTGGGGTCGATTACCTCGTTTTCCTGGATAATGACTCGAAATTGAGGAGTCCACGGTAAAGACTCATTGAAAGTCGGATGCTTAAAAAAAGTAGAAGCATTAATTCAGAGCTGACTGTCCATGCCAAAACGAAAGAAACCACTGTCCAATAATATGAAAGAACAATACTTTGTGTAAATAAATAAAGAATACTGTCGAATATGACATAAAATCGTGTCTTAAAAAGCTAGGGACACTTACATTCCGATTGGGAGATTGACCATATTGTGTAAAAATCAGAAGCTCTGTTTGGTGAAGAGCCTGCAGTCGACCACATCCCGAGGCCTGGGGATTTCAGGAGAAGACTTGGATTGGATGGGATGAAGCCCCCCCGAAAGGCTAAACATAGAGACGCTTGGAGAAAAGTGGTTGGCACATCATCCTTGGTGTCCCAACGGTCATCTTAGACTAAGGTATAATAACTAAGTAAGTAAATAGACCGGATGTCATATCTTTGGGATAGGAAGTAACGCGACTTTCTCTCCCTCGTCATTTGTGCAGAATGGGTACCAGCATCAGCATATTGCCGGGATGTAAACAAACTCCCCC